CATATTTATAATTGTCAACTTCTTTAGTAATTCGCGCACGGCGAGAGAGTGTGGAAAAGAAACCATCCCAATAATACACACAGAACGTCAACGTCAAATATCTGAGAGAACATTGAACTGAGGAAAAATAGAAGGCAACAGCGCGTAAGCGAAAAAGAACAAGAATTAAACATTTAATGCTCATACAGAAGACCAATCAAGATTTCAAGATTTATACATTTGCTGTGTGAATAGTTTACGGAAAGCAAAAAAAAAGAGTTCTATGTAATAAAAGTTCTAAGCTTGAGATATTCGCAAATGTGTGTGTAGAGAGAAACCAGCGAAAAAATATACCGTCAAAAGAGATCATCGAACGGACATTTCGCGGTCACATTGCCATTACTCCAAAATATTTTAAGCATATATAATAAAGTTTTTTTTTGCCCGTTCAGTTCTTATATAGCCTCTTCCACTTCTCTTCAATCGTGTGTTCTCAAACACAGAGAATGAGGGGAAGAATCAACACACGTGTATGGATGAATTTAATTCAAGAAAATCACGGAAAACGTAACCATGTAGAGATTTATTTTTAGTGTGTTTTTAAGCAGGTCGATAAACCGTTCAAAGTCACTGTATTGCCTCTTTTGCACCTCTCCTCTATCGTCTGTGTTTGCCAATTGTTCTCACAGTGTACATAGAAATACATTGTAGCGTCTGATTATTAACACTTTTTGGTAACTTTTCGATTTAGCAAAAGTGAAAAAAAAAACACTGGGGTCGGATTGGTTGGCATGGTGCAAAAAATGGAGACCATTACATGGTTCAATTAGCAAAACAAACTCATAGAGGCAAACAATGAGGGCGAAGAATCATGTTGTGGGCTAATTTCACATAAAGCCACACAATTAAATCTTGCAGTTTTCCTACATACAATCCAAGAAGACCATTAAAAGTGTCAAAAGAGGAAAGTTTCCCCGAAAATAATCATGCCACTGGGTTATAACAAACCCCACACGACTGAGCCTAAAATTGAATTTTCAGGCCGCCTTTTGTCATGGCAGACAGTGAAATTTTCCAATATACTTTCACTGCATAGACGACAATGATAAGCCAAAACTAATTCAAGTGCGTCTATGACAAGCACACAGTCTATCTCATAGGTATAGAAAAATCATCATCTCTCAATGTTGTCTGGGAGCGAAAACGACCGAAAGCACGCCGCAGCGATGCTGTGAAAGGGGATGAAAATCCCGAAAAGGAACAATTCAAACTGCGCCAGACATGTCTCGATCCACAGATACGCTCCTCTCTCCCCAAGGCTACCCAACCCCTCATTAGACCGCTCAACCTAACGCCGAGGGTGTGCGTGTCTGCTCCGGTGGTGCCTGGCATTTTGGGAAGCGCTGGAAACACACTCGTCGGGCAGGGTGGACTCAATGTACTCTCTCAAGGTCTCTTGCCAAAATCCAAGGCGAAAAGAAACCGGACAAAGAGGGCAAACATGGGAAAATGCTTCAACCTTCTCATTCGCACCCATTGATTTTTCTCCATATATGTACAGTCAATTTCACACCCCTGGCGTGGCGCACTTTTTTTTCGTCTCGAGTTGTCTTTCTCTCACACTCCCAATATCCCGAGTCCACCCAGTCTCTTCATCTCATTGCGCCCAGACAGTTTCCGCGACGCCGCGTCGATTTTGCCTGCCACAAGAGAGCGAGAACCCACCGAAAAGTTCTTTTCCACGCCACACACACTCACACACACACACACTTCTGGGTAGACAGTGCGAAAGAGACCATGGGAGCGCCATGTGTGTGAGAAAATCCCCAAAGTGATTCACGCAAATGGCAAAATCGGCACTCCAGGAGCGGAAGAGTAAGTGAGACAACAGGAAGTGACCACTCTCTGGCAGAAGCAGACGACATAGGATGGGAAACATAATGTAACAAAAGCGACTACGTAAATTCTATTAAATATTCTGGCGAATGACCTTGGTTATATTGCTAACACGTGGAGTACAATCTTGAACCGGTTGTTTCTAACTTGCCAACCTTTGTCCTTTCTTCTCCGCAACTCTCCCTTTTCCCTTTGTTACTCATCAAATTTCAAGGAACGTGAAAAAAAATCCGCGCTTTCAGAGAACCCAAATATTCTATAATTCAGAAGAAACAGACTGAATGATATACAACCATACAAAGGAATGAGAGGAATTTCAAACAGTAGGGTGAGTTAGTGATGGAGCGTCTGGAAATTTAACCCTTTTTTCGCGATCGCAAAAACCCTCTCTTATTGTCTCCTTTACGCCCTATTCCGAAAATTTCCTTTGACTGCGAGACTCAAAAAAAAACCGCGATCATTGCCATGATATTCAGACATAGGGAAGGTTCGTACCTACTTCGAAATAATTTCCCATGTATTTAATAAACACTCCAGAAGCACTCTTCGCGAGCACAACACACAAAATATTCTTCAGAACACCGTGTGTCCTTTGTGAGTTTGTTGCCTTAACACTATAGAACTGTTAATTCTTATATTTTGATTTATCAACCAACAATTCTATGCGTCTTTAAGTGCAACGTCTCATTATTTCATTCTATGATTCATGAAAATGACATTTGAAGCAGACTTTTGCATTGAGGTCAAAGTCGATAATATCATGCCATTATGGATTTTGACTGTTCTAGTGTTAATGTGCTTTTCTCACACCGTCAAAGAGTCAAAGGAGAAAATTTGCACAGAGTCACAATGACACACAATGTTCTTAGCACAATAATTACCTTACTAGTAGAATTTTTGCACAAAATGCTTTTATTTTGTTTGATTTAGATAAGAAGACGCCACTATTGTTTCCTCTCACTTGTCACCATTATCTCGCCGTATTCTCAAACATGTAAAATATCATGACAAAGTAAATTATCTACATTACTATTATTCACAGAATCCTCTTGCGCTAGTTTGAGCAATGAATCCAACAGTCGCAAGTGTTTAGAAGTAGCAAAAAATTCCACCATAGAACTTCTTTCTTATGCTATTTATTCCAATAAAGAATAATTGACAATTCTCACTGTTCTTTGTTGCAATATTTGCGACTATCCACACACACCCCGAATCATCTTCCGCAAAACCACGCAATCAACGTCATTGGTGAGCATGTTATGTGTGAATTTTATGATTTACTCGCTTGTAAATTCATTGAAAGATTCTGCCAACTCAATTGAATTTATTGATCGTGTGGTTTTTGCCGATCATTCTTCTAGGCGAAACTCGACTATCCAATAAATCGAAACAAAGTCATACTTTGTATGTATATTTTCCCGATAAAGCAAAACATCTATGAAAACTTAAATTCCCCAACACGTGAATTCTGAGAAATTTACTGGTTAACATCCAAGGACCAAAATAAATGCCTTCACGCGCTCTGCAGAGTACGGAAATTAATTGAAGAAATGCGTTTACAACATCTCTTGGATAAATCTATTTTAGCTTAATACCAGCGTGACGCTTTGGCAAGTGTCTCTAAATAAAATACACCATCATTACACTGAAGAGCGAAGCAATGTGTACTCAAACTACAATCTAAAATTTCAGTCCTTCTGTTTCTCTTAGTGTTCCCGCGAAAAAAGACCAGTCAGACCCCAAAAATGTCTTATTTCTTATTCTACCCACTGTAATTCCTCTCTCTCCTTCTGCCTCATCCCATACTACAAATGCCATTGAAGTCAGAAGTTGGAGAAGTGGAGGAATTATCGTCTGGTCTCCCTATTTTTACCTCCCTCTTGCACTCACATTCTTTCTCCTCTATCTCTCTGTCACACGCTCGCGATAAGTAGCAAAAATTCATGCTACATACATACATATATAACTGTAGTCACAGTCTGCAAGTGCGAAAATTTCCCGCCAAAGATTTTGCATTGCGCAAGCGTTCTTCAAATGACGCGACCGCGCCTAATGACGTCATTCAATTCACATTAATTCAACTCTCCCAACATATCTCAGAACGAGACACACTATTAATACACCATACATTATTATTACTATCATTTGCCGGGGCGAAGATGCTTATAATGCCATGCACACTGCATCTGACAGTGTTTGGCGATGCTTGGAAAATTGGGGGCGTTAGTTAGGCTTATGGTGGAAAGTTTTCAGCACACCTACGCGCGCACAAGAATCCTTTCCCAAGTCACGTGTGACTCATGCCTCCAAAAACATCCACAATTCCTTCTTGTCATCTATCAAATAGCCCGTCACCGCCCAAAAGTCGCCCAGTCACGAGAATATTGTAGCATGTTGTGAAATAGATCTCTCGGACTATCCGTGCTTCTTGGAACTCCGACTAAGGGTGGGTCAAGATAATTTCCACTATGGCCCATTCTACACCCCAAAATCGCCGTCTTCAGGCAGTTTGGGGCATTTCAAATTCTACCCCCACACCCACACAAATATGAATGCATACTTAAGTGACTGAAGAAAATTTAGCGCGTCGCTAGAATATCGATTTTGGCTCGAATTCCTCTCGCGTTCACCCTGTTACACTCCATTTTTTCCAGCATTGTGTGTGTGTTTCTTCGACTAAATAAGTACTTCTCTCACTCTTTAGCCGGTCGCCAATTTCATCTCACTCTCTCACACACCTTTCTTTTCCCAAGCATGCAAAATTCTTTTTTTTTCCATATACACACCACCGAGAAATTATATACACAATTTCCTTCTCCATTCATATATACACAAGAGCACCGGCATTTCGATTTTAAAATGCTGTCTACAGGCGCGCATGAGCTCCCAAAAAAGCACACACACATGCACGTCTCTGCCCAACTTGCGAGTGTGTGCAGATAAAAATGATGTGAGACTCTCAATGTACATCAATATGACGTAGGTTCAAGGCCCTTTGACTCAATCCGAAAAGGCGGGAAACGCGTGTTAACAGTGCTGATCACAAAGTATGGGACACACACGGCACAAGAAGTCCGAGAGTGGGTGTAGAGAGCAATAAAAGGAAATCATGATGTCACACTCACCGGAATCGGAAGGTGTCTGCACGCCCAGGCCGCTGAGATCAATACTCCGCGTGTAGCAGTGATCACTGTGCGCCTCGACACATCCTGTCGTGGATCCGGCCATCGCATGAGATCCTGTGCTCGAGATTGACGATTGGGAGGACGAGATGGGCGACGAGACCATTTGCGGTGACACTTGACACGACTCCTGACGACTCATCGATGCCACAATGTCATCATGATCTGTGTCTATGGCACTATCTTCAGCCTCTTCCTCCTCCTCATAGTCGGACAGTGTTTTGATGTCCGTGAGCAGATCGGACAAAGAGTTGGATCTGTAGGTTCCCATCAGAGCCTTCAAGTTCTCATTCTTCCCATCTGACGTGTCCTCCAGATGTTCCTTCAGCATTGTGATAATCTTCGCATCATCATCGGAACTCGAGAGATTCCACTTGTTAGATCCCATTGTGCATGCAGCCAGATCGAAGGTGTGCTTGAACTCTGGCGGATCGCTGTCCAGACTCAGAGGTGTGTCCGGTCTGAGGATGTCTGTCTGCTTCTTCATCGGCGCCCGGGCGACACTCGACATCATGGGGCTCTTCTTGTTCTGTTGATTATACCGCAGCAGTGATCCACCAGCCGGGATGTTGTGAGACGTGGTGTTCTTTATCAAAGACTTCTGCTTATCCACGCCGGGCTCCGTTTTAATAGTCACCGCCGGTCCATGATTTCCCGGACACTTGGTCTTGTCCGTGTGATCACCGCACTGACCCGACCACATGCAGTCGTGGTTGTGGAGCAACTGATGCTTCAGCGACTGCGACATGAGCGGCGATGGGGGCCTCATGGGGCACGGTTCCGGCAGCCCAAAGAAGATGCTGTCTGTGTCCACGGACGCCATAAATTCCGACGTCGGCAGGTCCAGCACATTGTATTCCCATTCAAACTCATGGGGTGTGTACGATGGTGTGTACAACTCTGAATCCTCCATCATGTTTTCCACTTTAACGGGCATAATATTTCCTTCAAAAATGCTGTCAAATCAAATTCACGCACTCCGTGACGAACTCCGGACGAAACCGTTTCAACAAGATAGCCTGAAATCACAGAGGAAAAGGAGATTCGCTTTTAATCGTGCAAAATTTCACACTATTTCACTATTTTATAAATGTTTGCTTGTCAATCATTTCCCATGAAATCATAAATTATCATTGGCGCCATCTGCCCTCCCCTCAGTTACATGTTTTTCCCAGTAAATAGTGTATATCAACAAACTGGAAGAGGAAGTGTTCTTTGCAAACAATTAGACATATGCACATTATACACAGCTTCTCTACGAATCATCAATTCCAATGATTTTCTGTCTCAAAGTTCCCGCCTCGCGCTGTTAAGAGGAAAAACCACCCATTTAGCAAACACATGATGATTATTCATCAGAAAAAATCTTCTGCAGGTTCTCATATTCAAATCATCTTGACTTCTTGCCCATCGCTCTGTCTGTTAACCAACGACTTTTTGTTTCTCAGACTTCCAAAGAAAAGTTGTTCATCAGTGTAAATAAAATTCCCAGAAAGTCCACTAGAATCATCCACTGAATTCGTAAACAATATTGCACCGAATATTTGCATATTTGGTGAAACTTGGCCGTTATTTCGCACGAAATAGCCATTCACTTGGAAAACACTCGACAATTCTTCATTGGCAAACAAAAAAATTCGTGAAAATGTCTGCAATCGCAAATCTCATAAGGTGCAACATTAATTATGTTGAACATAAATGCCAAGGTGAATTTCTAAATAACTCTTAATAAGATCAATTTCTTGAAATGATTGAAAACCCGTTAGAAATTCCACGAATTCTTCTCACTGGAATATTGTCAAATTTTGTCTCTTTCACTCTCTTGCCAGCAAAATTTCAAGCTCTTTTCCACAACACACAGTTACACACCAGCGAAATGCCACTCAATCAACTACTAACCAGCGTCAATTAATTCTGAGAAATGAGCTTGCAAAGTTGAATGGAGAAAAAGTTTCCCGAGACACCTCACAAAAAACAACTACCCAAATTCTAGGTGTGCAGATTTCGCCAAGAGACCATTTTTTCAACATGCCCAACCGACTGTATAGCCAATATAAGGCCAGCCGGTATACAATTCCCTTCCACGAATTCTTTTTATCACACCGACAGTTCAAACAAAAAATCAGATTAGACGAAGTGCATAACTTATAATTTAACCAATATTCCCAAGTCTAGTCGTCTTTTTATATTATCCGCACCTCTTCTTTAACGAGTTGCAATTTTTCCCCTCGGCTCGGATGGGAAAGACTCTTGAGTGATCCGAGAACGAGATAGCGAAAAAAAATACCGAGGTCTTTCTCCTCTAACGTGAAATACTTCAAGAGGCCGTGATCAGAACAGAACACGAAATATTGAGCCTATACATCAAAGTCTGTCTATTTCTTCTCTCTGCCCGACAAACACCTCCTTGTCATCTCTTGCCTGAGAATCTCAATTAGTATTAATATTTCTGCCCACCAAATATTTGATCCATCACTAATTTTTATTACCAACAATTATTTTACACGTCTCACTGCTCCGCACTACTTGTTGACTCTACACTTTTCCCTCCTCCTTTCATCTCGACCAATTTGGATAATTTTATCAAACCCTCCCCTATTGCATGCGACTCACGAGATGTAATACAATCCACAAGAAGCCCACATGTGAAATCCCACCACCCAGAATACAAACAACACACTCTTCAATGTGGGTGATTTCCCAAATGCGACAGAAAAGAGAGACTTCATCAAAGACTTAATTAATTCCACAGAATACTCACGCATTCCACCCTTCTTGCGCCTCAACAGTAAATGCAAAATAAAAACACCAAAATGAGCCCTCAACATTGATTGGGAAAAAGGAATTTTCTGCTGTTCACGAACGTTTGGAAAATATCGTCTTGGGGAATGTTGGGCGATTGTAAGAGATCCCAGCTTGCAATAGTAAAAGGCATGATCCTCAAGCATCATCTCACAACTCAAAGACATAATCAAGTAACACAGCGAGATCACGGTCTGATTAATTTAATTTAATTAAGTCACATCATGTTTTATGTGCGAGAGGGCTATTTAGACATCGTTTTTGCCAAGAGGGGCGGCGGCAGCGCCAACATCAAATATTACAGTATAGCATTTCACACAGAAAAAAAACAGACACAATGCAAGGTAATGCCGGATAAAAAGAGAGAAAAGCTTTATATAGGGCGATTAAAGCTAGCAAAAATTATGAGAAGTAATCAGTGTGTTACTTGCCGGAAACTGTAATGAAGTCATAAAAAATCGGGTTATGATTAACTAAATATAAGTTCGCTGTCTAAACTGAAAAATGATTTTCATCTTCTCTACACACAACATACACGATCTGAGCAAGGACTTTGTGAACAATTTTACTGCACTCTAAAATATTCCTTATTTTATTGATTCACTTCGCTCACAAGATAAATTTCTCGGCTGTGCACGGACATAAAAAGAAATGTTCGCAAAGATCATTCTACAATATAGGCTCGTAAAATTTAGAGAGGATGAAAGAGGGAAATCTTTACAAGATACTTTGAATAAAAAGACATAGGGGAAGTTGTCCCCAACTTGGAATCGAAATGATTAGATACTGGTATGTTATATCACGTGCAGAGCCGGCCATTCACTCTCTCTTTAATGAATGGTCCGCCGTCAACTTGACAACAAGACCAAAAAACCTCCAGCCCACGACTAATGGTGAAAAAATCGATCAAATCTCACCATCTGGAGCAGAATCTTGAATATTTTCACCATTAAATTGCTTGATGGCAAGTTGACAGTGAAGCCATATAAAAAATCACCTCAAATTTATGTAGATTATGTACGTACATATCGACAAAATCCTAACCGTAGGCCAGAGATTTTTTTGCACTTTCCCAATGATTCATAATCACATCTTAGTCAATCTTGCTCGTCCTTTTGGGATAGTTACTGAGTGGATGGATGAGTCTCATCATCTTTAGCCCCTCATCCTCCCATTTTGGAGGCTTTGCACACATGCGCACATCTCAAATCGCGAAAATTTCCCTTTGCGGCATTTTTTTTTGCCACACTACACACGACTTTTTCAGGAGCAAAAAGGGGTTTCTCGGACCCTCCTTCGCATGGAATTTCATACATCAGTGTGTGCATACAGCAATGTAAGGTGGAAACTGCGAAACAGGCACAATCACTGATCTCTCGCGAGTCTCACACTCATTCTTCGGCATTTTCTAAATGACTAATATATCGTAAGTGTGTGAAATACATTCACCTGTGCAATATACAAGAACACACAGGTATAGATTCAAAATTGCCACGTTAAATTGCACACGACAGCAACAATTTCAGAATTAACCATTAGTCACTCTCCCGCTCTGCCCAGAATTCTATGTCACGCTCATCTCATGCAGATGGCAAAATATCTGAAAAACTCTCTTATTACCTGATTAAGAATTGTTGAATATATTTTTCAAATTAGCGCTCCTTCAGTTGGATTGTTGAGATTTTTTTTTACTGCACACACACTATTTATTTGGTCTCAGTGTTCTATTTCTCGTTATTAGTTTTAAAATAGATGAAAAATTAAAATTTTGTCCTATTCGAGAGTTGCAGGTCAAGAATGTCACTTTTTCGATTTTATTTAGTAAATCCGTCTAAATATTTTGCAGTGATTAGTCACTTGTATTGTGTGAAATGTACAGAGATGATTTTTCACTATTGATTCACACTTTTTACTGCTTTTCACTGCAATAGCCGTCACTTTTCTAGGCATATCAAGAATTTTGCCGCCCAAAGTGTTGGAGAATGTCTCAATTCCGCCCAGTTTTTTTTTGTATTCTGTGATCAGTCACACATATAGTTTAGGCAAATGCACTCACAATTTCTTGTCCTTTCACCGGTGACTTTTCGTACTGTCTGACGAAAGAAAAATCCGGTAAATCACCGTAAATGTACATAAAATCTTCACAAAACTTCAAGAGTGTGAATAAGTGTTTAACCAATTTATTAGTGTCTTTCTCAACGATAAAATATCCACTTCACAAGTTCTTGCCTTGAGGTCTTCGCGAGAAAAAAATGCCGGAGACTGAAACCTTTCTAGTGTCAGAATCTCACGTCTATTGACCTTATTTGATGCGGTGTACAATGTTCCGAAATAAGAAATTAGAATTACACTGCATAACAGCTCCTATTCTCCACAGAAACGAACAAATTTTCGGTCACTTGCTATGCAAAGTGCAAAAACACTTCAATTCTTTCCTTTTTCCGTGCCAGCAAACCTCCCAGAGTGTGATTCCAAAGTGAGAAAATGGGCACGTCTCGGGAGAGCAACCACCAAAATTCGTCCTTTCAATTTGCGGTCTAAAATGCGACTGAATAACGAGACGACCACGAAGAAACGATGTATCGAGAAAATTCACTGACTCGGGAGTGAAGTGAAAAAGAACACCAGCCCAAAGAGCGCTGCTCTGACCCACACACACGCACACCGCTCCTCGAGACACGTCAATCGCTCCATCTCCCTCGCTCTCGCCACGCCGGCTCATTACCTCTCTTCCACGCGACTCCTATATATATACAGTGGAGAGGAGCAGTATATTTCCACTTGATATGAAATTCCAATTCCCGCATATATCTCGCAAGCGCCCCCCCGACCGACATACGGCCATTCCACTCGCGCTTCGCGCCATCGCCATCCACCCATCCCTCTCGTGCACGAGGCGATCGCACACACGCTCAGGAAGCCAGCAGAGCGCCATTATCAGGCGCGGGCGCGAGAGGAGATTCACCGCAAGAGACACACTCTCTCGCAAGTGCCGGCATCGGCGCCAACGCGAGTGCGAGAGAGAGAGAGACGGATCACACGTCACTAGCGTTCTCAGCCCACTTCAGCTGTGTGTGTGCACCGCTCTATCTCAACTACAAGGCGTAGCCGGCATTGACGAAATTTTCACATCACCTTTTCCACCCAAAATCACCCTCAAACAGCCCCATTTTACCAAAATCATCTACAAAATCCACCTAAAATCCTTTTTCAATAACTATCGCAGACTGTCTTGTGCCTTTTCCCCGGGTTTGTCGTATTTCACAATTTGCACTATTTTACACACACACTACCGACACTGTAATCGGTCGTGTGGGAAAATCATTCTACGTCGCCGCCATATGCCAGCCGGCAAATTGTATATAAATAATTATTTCAAACACACACACACACACACACACAACGCACACTCGGCACGCAAAACTGGGGAGACGGATGGAAAAATTCTCTCTGAGCTTTCGACCGGCAGTCGCACACACTTTGGCAGAAGAATATAGGCGGCAGGAAAGAGAAGGTGCGTGTGTGCGAGCAAGAGAAAAAAGCCACACACGCTTTTTGGTTCCCAAGTAAATAAAATTAAACGAAGAGTAACCGGCATTTTACTTACAAAACTATTTTCTCTTATGCGCCTTTTCTCTCACACCCGAAAAACTTTTCCACTCTCCCCAGAGAGTGGCAGACACACAATTCTATATGGCGGAATGGACATATTTTCCGGATTGGCAAAGTGCCTATGAAAAAGAAATATGAAAGATTATACGGCAAATTAATTAGAGATACTCGAGATTTCAATAAATACACTTTGTCACCCATACTTCACATTGCAGCCGTAAAAAAATACAAAGTGCATGAAAAATTGTACACATGCCACTGTTTTACTGCTGAAACATCAACAATCTACAATGTATGTCCCAATGGGAAATGCAATATACGACGTTATGGTCGTCGTGAGGAGTAATATAAGATGCTTCCTAGATTTTCTAGATTACAAACTCTAAGACGCAAAAGCACTCCGCCAGTAATCAGACACGAGCCGGCTATTTTTTATTTTATTTTAAAACACCGAATGTGCAGCAAAACTTTGTGTGGAGTGTGTGCACCATTTTCCCGCCTAAAATTTTCCACACGATTTCGCACACAGCAGAAACCGAGAGTAGAGCATAATTTTCCATCCCATACAAAAGAGTGGAAAGTTATTTGATGTTCGTGCCATCGATGATCATTTAGATCATTTTAATTGATTTCTACAGTCAATATGTAAATTGCTTGAGTAAATTTCATGCAATAACAACGATATTTCCCAATACATCTTGCATCTTCAGACTCTCACGACTGTTTTGCTGCTTCCTCGCCATCCCAATTGAGATGCAGAAGCCGCCAAGAATCTATTTATAAATTCACAACTTACAATATTTTTATCAATTGAACATTGAGATGTGTTTTCCCGCTAAAAATTAGCATCACCACAGCGAAGCGAACCTTCACAAGTCCCTTAAACATGTTTTAACTAATGTTCTGAGGGATTTATAGAAAACTATAGAGTTTCAAACAATGGGCAATATTTGTTATTAAGTCATATCTCTGCGAGTTGTCATCTATTGCAATGAACTGAGTTTCTGATAAGGAATTGCAATGTGTTAAATCTATCAGTATAGGAGAGAGTGGATTTTTCAAAACTTATTTATTGCTCTTGTCTGGCCAAAGATTAATATTTAGAAGGAAATTCACACACCATTTTTATGTGTAGATAAATCAAATATTGTAGGAAACATGTTAACTTGTTTACTTCGAGAGAGACATACATTTTCTCGAGACTAGTGATGCAATTACTCAAGGAACTTCACACCTTTTGGATACGGTAAGATGAAGTAGTTCAAGATTCCCAAGTCAGAATTTCAGAAAAATTATAAAAAAAATACTGAGAAAATCATTTTCCAGACGATCTAGAAATATATTTCAGCAAATATACCTGAATTCCTGAACACCTACAGTCCAAAGTTCAGCCAGACTAGATTAGGCAAAGTCTTAATATCTCCTAAAGTGGTGCTGGTTCTAAGTGCAAACTATTATTCCTCAGCCGACTATCGGCAGTGAAGAGCCCATACCGACGTTGGGAATGTTTCTTTTATGTGAAAAAGTCTGTGCATAAATCAGCCCATCAGCAATTTCCCATCTTGATCACAGATTGAACGCACATCGAGTGCCTCAAATGTGCCCTGCTCTTCTCTGCTTATTTTATTCCTGGAATATAACCATAAATTCAGATTCGACAATAGAGATGTCGAAATTTTATCGGGGATTTGAAATGCATATCAAAAAAATAAGAGATGATGTCTACTTTCACTTCTGTACCTCTATAAACTCGTTCGCAGCCAATGACAACATTTTATTGGCGCAATTGCGATTGTTAAAATTCCGAGAAAAAGTATCATCAACTTTTTTGACTGTTGAGCTCATTTTTATCGTTCTTCTGTCTCATTGCAATTGTCTCTTGATAACGACGAGTTTGAAGTAAAGAGTGAACTATTCCGTTATTTCTATGTTTACATTTAATTTCAAATTATAGAGGGTAAATTTGGGAAAAATTCAATGTCTTCTATTTAAATTTTTAATATTCACCTAATACGAAGGCAAGGAGTCATTGTACTTTCATACACATGTTCCTCTTCTAAGGTGCCTTCAGAGGTGCAGAAGGAAAAAAAACACAGACTTCTTCCATATATTATTGATATATTCAACAAAGACGGAAACACATTCAGTAAATTTTTCATATACCAAATTGTGACGCCTTTTGGGAATAATAAATAAAAGAATAGAAAATTAAACTTGCTATTTATTATATAATAAATGAGGGAACGTTAATCAAACTCCAAAGCGACCCTTTCACATTGTACACACACTTATTCCTTCCTTCTCATATTTAGATTTTTATTCAAATCATACTTATGTCTTGCGCTCGGTGAGATGATGAAACTTTGAGACGTTTTTTTTTACACAATACTCTTTAATTAGTTATTTTATTTTACCGCAATTTCCATTTCTATCATGTCAATCTCTCAGCCATCAGTGATAGTCAGAATATTTTCATATTGCCAAGTAATTGAAATTTAAAGAGAATACAGTTAAATTTGTGTTCTCTGGTTTTGAACACAACTCCTGTCTAGAAAGTACGTGCGAATAAAAAATCATATTATTGCCTCGGCGTCTCACCCTAAAAAACAGCCAAAAAATCACTTATTTGATGAAGAAATGCTGACGAGAGTATAAAGAGAAAATTTTTCTCTGGTGTTTCGGAGGCGCCTCAATGAAACACGTTCACTCTGCTTTAATTTCCCCGCATTGGGGAAAATCGATAGGGAGCATTCCCCCCCTAGAGCCCCTCATCAACCACTCTGCACACCCCTCGATGCCTCCGCTTGTACGTAGGTAGAGGAAAATTGGGGATTCAAGTGTGTGCGCCCGAAGAGCAGACTGTTGGGGAAAATTTCATATAATAGTCAGACGGCGCTTTCCTCTGTGGTGTAGCAACAGAAGCAGCATCAGCGTCACAAAAAGGAGAGAAAACCCACGAGAATGCCGGCTAATGTTCTCTCGTCTGGCAGACGATGGGCAGAACCCAAAATGGTGAGTGGGTGGAATTTTGGGGGTGGCGAGATTCGTCGCAGGGACAGATTTGGCGCATTCTGGCTGCGTCTATCCCATTGATATTTCAGCAAAAAGCAATATATTAGGCGCGCGCGAATTTCATCAGTGGCTACAAAATTTGTCTCCTCTTCACTTTCACCCAAATTCAAACCCCTCAAATATCAAAAGCACGCCCCGCATTAAATGCGATACATTTCAGATGAGAAACATCAAATATTTCATATGTCCTCGTCGCAAAAGGTCATGCTTATCCCACCATTTTTAGCAGTCTTCTCTCGCCTCCATGAAAACCACATCGAGGGGGATCACAATAAAAGGAGAGTAATCCTAAATCTTCTATTCATATCAGTATCCACGTACGGCACTTTTTATCTCCTTCACAATTAAATATGTGTTTTCTGCGCAAAAAAAACCTAACGGTCTCTGTCTTGGCTGTCAAGATTTTTACCTCTTCGCATACACACCTAATGACATTCTGGGGATTAAAATAAAAACGCCTTTAACAGCGTCTGTATGTGCTTAATAACCCTCTCTCTCTCTCCCTTGGGAAATCAGGTAGAAAGTATTTAAGGTGAAAAATTGTTAGTCCTTAAAATTAGCTTCAACAGAAAATTTTGACTATGCTCATGCAAAAAGAATCATTAAAATGCTAGCAGATGTTTCTTGAACGGCATTTAATTTAAATTATATTGCGAAAATTGTCAAACCACGTCATATTCACGTCACGAGTACATGGAACTCAATAGAATACCCGAAGTTTCTACAATAAAAACAGCGGTGGAAATTAAGTTAGAGACAGTGCTGTTTTGAATTCGATATCAGGCCATGTACAAAAACCGAGAAAAACATTGCTTTCAACACAATTTCAAATACTGTGTCTTGAAGACGTGGACTTCCTCACTTTTCACTGTGTGGGCATCACAACGCCTTCG